CAACAGATTCAAAAGAAAGAAGGATTGAACCAAGGGAGGAAGGAAGGGAAGAAGGAAAAGAAGAGAAAAAGGGAGGATGAATGGGCAGGGTCTGAGTACAAAACATGAGGAAAGGGCAGGTTGGTGGAGTTGAAAGGGAGAGTCTTTGATTCATGAAGTCATACACCTTTAAAATATAGCACCTCAGATGTGGGAGTTCAGCAGCTACAAAGAGGGGGTGTTGAAGATCAGAGAGGATGAGATCCCTGCAACAGCAAAAATCTCCTATTGGAATTTCTTAAAAGATGAAATCCCACGAGGAGGGGAAGAATACTTGGGAGTTTGGAGGGTGTGAGCATCATGCCTCAACTCTGAGCTGAGGTGCACTGGTACTGATTCTCAGTATTGTCCTCATGCCCCTGATAGAGACATAGGCACCTATCTCAGGGAGGTGTGAAGCCCTCTGTGTTGTGATGGCTGTGAGGGAAAGGGGAAAGGAGAGGAACTTTCCTGATTGAAGGGATTCAGGAAGCCCCCAAGTTGTCCAAATAGTTACCTTTTATACCTTCCGTAGGCCTATCAACTCTTATTTTTCTTTTACTCTATTTTCTTCCCCTCCTTTCCTGCCTCTTCCTTTCCACCCTCTGTCTGTCCCTCCCTCTCTTTCTTCCTCCCGCTTTCCTTTTCTCCCTCCCCCTCCTTCATTTCTTCCTCCCTTTCCCCATTCTCCTTTTCCTTCTCTCCTTCCTTCCTTCCTCCCTTCACTCCCTCCTTCTGTTCTTTCTTTAGAATCTGTTGAGCTGGACAGCTCTTTGTAATCTCCATTCCTAGGTTCCTCGTATCTTCTTGGACAGACACCAAGAGTTTTCCTGTGAGGAATGTCACAGGACTCTTCAAATACCTGCAACTTGGCCTACCTTCAGACCTATCATTTTAATTTTTTCATTCATTCACTTATGCATTTACTGAATTATTCAAACAAAATGTGTTGTACTGATATGACATACCATGCATTCTGTTGCACACAGGAGAGTGTTAGAAATGAGTAAAATTTGTTCTTGTTTTTGAGTAGCTCACAGAGTAGTGGGGCAGACAGACGAATAACAAGCTAAGTGTGATCCAATATGGCAAGGCTAATATGGCTATGAGGAAAGTCCTCAGACACAAGGGCAGAGCCTTTGGATATCAGTCTCCTTTTGCCTCGAGTGACTCTGAGGCAGAGAATGTGTTTAGATGTTACCACCTGCTGTCACTTGGGGGTGAAAAGTAACATGAGATCACTGGTCTGTGACAACAGTACCTGTACAAGTAGCAGGAGCAGAGGTGTAGAGCCTTAATCTGTCTGTGGGCAGCCAGCCAAGATGGCAAGAGGTGCTCATACAACTCAGGGAGTCTTCACCAGGGAGAAGAGATTATGCTGGTGCTAAAGGAAGAATGGAACCAGGAGGAATCCTGGGAGGATCTAACACAAAATGGAGGGGGCAGAATCATGGGTTTGTTAAGAGCACTCATTTTAGAGTCAGACATTCCTGAGTTTGAATCCTGCTCCCCCAGGTAACCCTGGTATCTGGGAGTGGGAGGCAGTTATAAAGTGATAGAAGCACAATAGACCAAAGATGTGAAGGACACAATCAGAGACAGAGACAAGAAATTGACGGAAGCCATGATGACGTGGTTTGCAAACTAAAATACATCTGAGGACCATTGTGTTAGTGTCTTAGTGACTGTGAAATTCATTCTAAGCGCTCTAGGAGCAGTTGAGGGGAGGAAGTGATCCAAGTTGACTGAGGTGTCTAAGGGAGATTAGCAGAGCTGAGAATAATGCTTCCTTGATGCGGTGATGACAAGGCCGTTAATAGGGAAGCTTGTGAACAAGCAATTGAACAAGCGTTTTGGAAATTACATAAGCTATGTAGTATTTTTCCACTGCATTTTATTTTGCGTGTGTGTGTACTTCTAAAAATATTTATTTATTTAAGGAAAAGTCAGGCTATAATTTTTTTAAAAAAAGATGTGGGGTACAATTCAGGATTAGGTATACAAGTGGTCATAGTACAGTTAAAGTTTGAGCCTTCCTTTGGTCCCCACTTTGTCTTGTTTGAAATCAGGTACGCTTACTGATATTGTGTCCCCCTCCCCCACCCTGGCATTATCCCACTACTACCTATTTCTTTCTTATAGTATTATGGTAAATGTTCAGGGTCCGCTTATGAGTGAGAACATGGCGTGGTCTGTTCTTTGTTTCTGTGATAGATCACTGAGTATAATAGACTCTAAATTCATCCAAGTTGCTGTAAAGTCCATATGTTTGTCCTTTATGGCTTCCACTGCATTTTATTTAACATTAGAGAACAACTGCCCTCTGAAACACCACATCTCAGAATGGGACAAATCCTTTACATCACAGGTATTAATTACAATGATGACAAAGTATTATTTTATTTTTCTTTCTTTTTTTCCTTTCTTTTAAAGATGTGGGGTATTATTAAGGATTATGTATACAAATGTTCATTATGCAGGTACCTTTGTTGATGAGGTGTGCCCCTCCTTTCCCTCAACTGCCAATCCTACCCCCATACAAAGCATTATTTTTAAATAAATATTGATGACAACTGTGTGACTATTCTGTTACAAGGAGGCCTATGGCTAATGAAATCCCTTGTAGGTGGTGATATAAGTAATATTCATGGGAAGAAAAGAGCATCTGTGAGAAGAGGATTTTTCACTGGGGCTGTGAAGAGAAGGAAGAAAGGCGATGGGGAAGGATATGAGGACAAAGGGGTACTTGTGCAATAACTTTGTTCCATTAGTATTCACAATTTATCCCCTCTCCTTTCTGGGCTGTTGCTTTGGTGTGGAACCTAGCAAATACTTGATGTTCCTTTTCGTCACACCAAAGTCACTACCTCAAAGCCTCTATATTTTGCCTAGGCTGAGTGTTTTCTCTGGGTTTATTAAATGAGCACTAGTGTCTCCTCAGGTTGAAATGTCAGCTGAGGAGAGGGTTACCGTGTTTCACTCTGCATTGTACATAAAATTGGGAAATGTCTGCCTTGGACTCCTTTTAAATATGAGTTCTCTTTTGATTCCCCACTGTATTCCTAGTACCTACAACGGAGCACATATAGATGCTCAATAAAAATGTGTTCCAGGCCTTAGGACTTGGTGTCGCCTTGATGAGATTTGGGAGAAACTGTTTTCTCTACTGTTGGATATTCTCCTTTGGGAGTTTCCATCATTAAAAAGTCCTTTTATTACTTCTAGCTTCCCAAGATCTCTTTGAAGTTTCAGCAAGGTATGTTATTTGTTGATCCTGCTCCCTTTCTTCTTCACTCATATTAGATTCAACCATAGCCAGAACTCTGTCATTTCTTTAGAGTGGTGGAGTGTGGTGCTCTGCACCTACAAGCCTTATTCTGCAACCCCTGTCAGGAGGCGTGCTCTAACTCCCCAGTTCTGTCTAGCCTGTGCTGTGCCATTTCTAGGTCTGCACAGAGCAACTAGGCCTGTGTGTGGGTCTCTCTCACATCCTGGGTGCTAAGTTCCATGGACTGTGTCAGGCATGGCACACTCTCACCTGGGGACCGGGACTTCCATCCCCTTCACTGTGGCTTACACTGTTCCTGCCCCTGGTTGAGAACTCATCAGTGATTTCAAGCCAAACTTAAATGGGTGGACAAAGCCATGACTCCTACTTCGACAAATGCCTTTTTTTTTACACCTGCTGGTGCATATCTTACATTAAAATTGTTCAATATCATATCAGATATTAAACAATTTCAAGCCTAAATTTAAAGAATATATTTACAGGGTTTGATAATTTTTTTTAATCCAATGGGTTTATAAGGTTGTTCATAGATTTTTGTTTTTTATTCCCCCTGCCTGTTTTACTTAGTCCCTGTTATCAGTTTCTCTTAATATTTGCAATTTGACTCTGTTTTGAGCTTGGTGACATTTCTCTGACTTTCTGGCATTCAGAATGAGATATTACTCTTAGTTCATGTAAGGAAATATTATTCAACTTCGGGATCATCTGAGTGTCACAGTTTAGGCCAAGACATGAGACTCCCTTTAGACTGTGACTCCCATGTGTTGATATCAAGGTAGTGCGGATTTATAAAATTAATAAATGTTTGCTTTTTTGATTATATCTGTTTATAATGCCAGAAATTATATTTTCTTTTTTCTAAAATTCTTATATCATATATACTACAATCATCTCATTGACTAAACTTCCGGTCACATCTCTGCTCTGGGATCTCATTAATTTAAACAGTTTTCTCAGTTTTCATCCCTCTCTCTGGATTTTTATAGAGTCATTGAGTTAAACTTCCTCCCCGTGGTTTACATCTCCTTCTTCCGTTGTTGATTCAGCTCCTCTTTTGCCTGTTTTGTGTTTCTTCGCTTCCTGATTTCCTGTTTTTAAAATTAAAACTCAGACACAGCTTATTAAAATGAAGTTCCATATCACACACTGTAAGTTCCCTGATTGTGTCAGCATCCTCTCAGGTTTCCCAGAAAATGGCAGTCTGTGCACTGAGAGTTGCAGGGTCTCAAACCAACACAACCTGAATCCTTCTCTCCCTCTCATCCAACAGAAAACTCTTCTACTCCCTTTCATGAATGGAGGGGATCAAATCTGCTATTCTTTCTGGTGAAGTGTTAAGGTTCAGCCTCTCAAGTTGGGCTCTGCTGGCCAAGGAACTGAAGGAAGATACAGAGTGAAATGACATGTAAAACACCGGTGGTGATGAGAACAAGAAGCTTTATTTTTTGAAAGGACCAGGCACAGGCACTACCAATCCAAGGCAGGTGCAGGAGCGAGGGAAATTGAAATCCTGGATGGGAGGCAGGAAGATTCTCCTGGGGTGGGCTCAGACCCTACAAAGGAAGCCCTCAGCTCAACCTGTGAAAAGCCAGAACGGGGTAACTGGGTAAGGATGTGTCGGGATGAGACTTTTCAATGGCCCTTGGGACGTTGGTTTCCTCTAAAATCACTTGTCTCAGCATCAGGTTCCAGGTTAGCAGCAGCCCCCAGAGCTGTGCCCGCAGCCAGAGTCCCCTCCTTGCTGACCATTGCCCCCGCCACAAGAGTCGGAGTTCCGGAGCCGGCAATGGTGGGACCTGCGAGGCCTGTGGTGGCTCAGGCAGCAGCCGCCCTCGGAGCTGGGGCCACAGCCCCCATGACTTGGAGCACAGCCAGAGGAGGCAGTAGGCAGGCACTGTGCTGGGCTCTTTGGGGGACACTTGGGTGAGGGGCACTTGGGTGGGGGCTGGCACTGCTGCTGGTTCTGCTGGCAGGACATCTTGGCAGGATTTGAGTTGCCCTGGACAAAACAAAGCCACTTGTCAGTTCAGAATCTACAGCCTGTTATCTCCCAGACTCTAAGACCAGCTGCCTCTTGGACCAAGAGTTGCAGGAGGGCAAAAGAAGCTGATTTGGAGCTGGTGGGATGCTGTCAGATGCCTCTCACATTGCTCTCCACCCAGGACAGATTGCTGCTAGTCTAACTGGGCATCCATGGTTTGTTTCTAAAGAACACTAGGGAATGAACCCATTTAGGAGGCAATTATGAGCTTGTGTGTCAGCCATAGAAATTCTGCCAAGTCCCACATCCCTCCCATAGTACCTCCCTCCCTCAGGTCCTATCTCTGGGTCTTCTTTACAGACCTCTCTGTTTCCCTCTCTTCTGCTATGACCTTAGCTTTCTGTTCCAGTATCCCAGATTGAGTCTCTTCCCCTGCTGGACACTCACCAAGTGCAGAAGAAACAGGAGAGGCTGTTCCTGAGGAGACTGTGGATGAGAAGCCCAGGCCAGGAGCACTTTTATCCTGCACAGGGTGTGTGATGCACAGCCCGGGAATGCAGCTGCTTTCACAACCAGGGAGGGGGCACCTGGCACATGCCTGGGGCCTTCCATTTATCAACTTCCTGTGCACTCACCAAGATGTCCAATAAGAGGGAACCAGGAAGTTCTGATGTCTGTCTAGCTGTGTCTCATTCAGGATTTCTGGGGGGTTGCCATTCCACCTTCCGAGCAGCATTTCTTCAGCTCATGGTTTTTAATGCAGGCTCTGCCCCTTGGGCTTTCCAGGAAGAAGGCATACATGGAGGAATTCTGTTATAATGGAGCCCACAATCTGTCAGGAAAGAGAGATGGAAATGTTAATACACACATTAGTAAATGTCCAGTCAAATAGTCAAATATCAGGTGCTCAATGCTGTAGTACAACTGTGTATAACCTCTTTGGACTTGAGGCTATAGTCTCTGGTTTTAACCTCCCTTCTCCCTGAGTGCAACCCAAAGCCTTCCACATGTTCAAATGTCATGGGTCACTATCTTCTTGAGCTATTGTGATGAAAGAAGTAGAGGGGAAAGTGAAGAAATAGAGTAAGACCCTGTCTGGGTGCAGCGAGACCTCTAAGAAGATCTTGATTTCCAGAAGTCACTCTTGAGGTCCCTGGGGAAGAGAGATAGAACTGAATTGATTTTTGATGAGTAGAGAAATGTATTAGACCTGATAATATATGAAGTTTGAGTATGGCCTGTTTATGTAAATTCAAGACTTTTATCTTGAATTTACTGTTTGTACTATACTTTTTAAAAATTTGAGTTGGAGTCTCCATCGCCCAGGCTAGAGTGCAGAGGTATGCTCACGGCCACCCTAGCGTCAACCTGCTGGGCTCCAGAGATCCTTTTGCTTCAGCCTTCCAAGTAGCTGGAACTACAGGTGTGCACTACCACCCCTGGCTAATTTTTGATTTTTATAGAGACTGGATCTTGTCAAGTTGCCCAGACTGGTCTTGAACCAGCGGACTCAGGAAATCCACTCACCTTGGCCTTCCGAAGTGCTGGGATTACAGGCTGAACTACTGAGCCCGGCCTGTACTACACATTGAAGTACAAATAATCATCAAGAACACAACAAAAATTTAGTGACTTTTTAGTTAAAATTTTTTTCTACTAAATTATATAGCTTATTCATATTTTCTGTCTTACTAAAAAAGTTCATGACTAATTTACCAATGATTAAAGCAGGCTAAAAATAATACACATTATTATTTATGACAATTTAAATGAAATACTTTCATAGTAAGCGTGTGGGGAAAACATAGCCTTTTGTTTTCCAGCTTTGTCATGATGCTAGGCCTGGGATAGTGTCAGACTCAAGGGAGGGCACCTCTGACCCAAAGGCTACTTCCAGGAAACTCTGACCTCAGGAAAAGTCCATCTGTCTCTGGTCTGAGAACCTGGTAGGAGAAACCTACCAACTATCTGTCCTCCACAAGCTTGGCATTTGACCTGAGCCCCTGTTTGTTCTCCCCAAAATTTATATGTTGAAGCCCTAACTCCCAATTTGGTCATATTAGGAGGTGGAGGCTTTGGGGGATAATTAGGTAATGAGTGTGGAGCCTTCCTGAATGGGATTAGTGCCCTTATAAAAGAGTCCCAAGATAACTCTCTCATCCCCTTTCTGCCACGTGAAGATGCAATGAGAAGTTGACAGGAAGAGGACCTAGAAGCAGGTCCCCACCAGACCCTGACCATGCTGGCACCCTTATCTTTGACTTCTAGCCTCCAGAACTGTGAGAAATAAACTTCTGTTGTTTTTAAACCATTTGGTCTGTGGTATTCTGTTATAGCGGCTTGAACTGAGATAGCCCTTAGCTTTTTAACTGTCACCCATACCCTCACTCCTGGTATTTCCTCTCACTGAAGTTCCTCATTTCTACATGTTTCATTCATATAGCTTCTGTGGAGCATAAATCATGTGTCAGGCAAACTGAATGGTAGTGAGAATATAGTAGGGAGCAAAGGAGACCCCCGTCTCAGCCCTCAGGAGCTTCTTGTCTAACACAGACCACAAACACCAAGGGAGGAAAGATGACTGCTTCCCAGGAAGTGCCTCCATTTCTGTGAGCCTTGTCTAAACCTGTCTGGGATTACAGACCCCCTTTTTAAGTTAGCACTTATTAAACATATTTTGTGATTCTTTAGAAGCAAGGAAAAAGTCCATTTGTGGCCAAAGTGGTGAAATCTTGAATCATCTGGTGGGGAGCATTGGAAAGGTAAACTCAATCATAGTTTTGATAAGTTCAAAATTAAAGATATTCAGTAACCATCTGTAAGAGATTTCTCTGTATTTCTTCAGGAAATACAGATCATGTTCTGTCGGGTTCCCTTCAGCTCTGTCCCTAACTGTCTCTCATGGATGTCTCAACACCCTAATGTTCCTAATCTTCACTTAGAACTAAAGGGTTGCTCTTTTGCAGATATGCATTGACTATGGGGTCAGTTTCACAATAGTCATCGCTGCCAGAAGCACCATCTTAAGGAGAGAGGTGTGTAGTGACCCATGAATGTTATAGAAACACAGAGACCAGCTTGAATAAATGATCTTAGGAGAAGTTCTTGACTAACTAATGCTAACTGGCATTATCTAAATAGGCATGTAGCTTTTCAGGTTTGCCTCACTGTGTACATTTTATTGGACCATACAACTTATATGCCAATGATGAGTCTTCCTTTCCAACTGATGAGAGCTAATTGCCAGTTCAAGACTCATCATTATAACAATGTCTACTTGGCCATACTCATCTGAGTCATACTTAGGAAAGATGAGAGAAGTTAGATAGAAAAAGCTATCTTTTCGTTTTTGTTGAGATATAATTACAAATCATAAAATCCACCTTTCTATACTGTAGAATTTTGTGGTTTTTAGGATATCTACAAAGTTGTACAGAAGTCACCTCTGTTTAATTCCAGAACATTTTTATCTCCCCCAAAGGGAATCTTATACCCATGACAGTCAGTCCCCATCCCCCACTGTCTCCCTGGCAACCACTAATCTACATTTGGCTGCTATGAATTTGCTTATTCTAGACACTTCATACAAATGGAATCATTTAAGGTAAGGCCTTTTGGGTTGGTTTATTTTATATTGCTTAGCATATTGCTTTCAAGATTTATCTATGTTGTAGTATGTATCAGTACTCCATTTTTATGCTTGAATAATCTTCCATGTTATGGACACACCACATCTTATTTAACCACTCATCAGCTGATGGACATTTGGGTTATTTCCAAGTTTTAGTTATTCTGAATAATGCAGCTATGAACTTACTTTTTTTTTGTTGGTCTGAGTCTCACTCTGTCACCCAGGCTGAAATGCAGTGGCATGTTCACAGCCACAGCAAACTCAACCTGCTGGGCTCGGGTGGTCCTTCTGCCTCAGCCTTCCAAGTAGCTGAGACTACAGGCACACACCATCATACCTGGCTAATTATTTAAATTTATTGTAGAGACGAGGTCCTGCCCTATTGCCCAGTCTGGTCTCAAACCCCTGGACTCAGGCAATCATCTCGCCTCTACTTCCCTAAGTTGAACTTAATTTTTATTACTTCATTTCTTCTGCTTTATGTTTAGGTTGCTCTTCTTTTTTTAATATTTTAAGGTAGAAGTTTCAGTTATTGATTTGGGATTCTTTCTTCTTTTTCGTTATAGACATTCAAATCTGTATATTTCCCTCTGAGCACTTGTTTTGATACATCGCATAAGTTTTGGCATGTATGTTTTAATTTTTATTCATCTCTAAGTATTTCCTTAAATATTTTAATTTTATTAATCTCAAAATATTTCCTAATTTTCCTTGTGGCTTTTCTTTGACCCATTGATTACTGAAAAATATTTCTAAATAATCTAGTTTCTTCTGTTATTAAATTGCCATATAGGCAGAAAATGACAATTCCTTGGACATGGGGTTTTTGGTGAGTTCCAGACCTGCTATGTTCCCTCTAGTGTACTCTAGGATTTTAGCGTTCAAAACTACAACACTGAGGGCAGGAAGAGGACAAGTTAAAATGTCACCAAGTTCACTGTTCTTTTTTTTTTTTTTTGAGTTGGAGTCTCACTCTGTCACCCAGACTGGAGTGCAGTGGCCGCTGCCGGCCACTGCAACCTCGACCCGCTGGGTTCCAGCAATCCTTCCGCCCCAGCCTTCCGAGTAGTCGGAATTACAGGCACACACTACCATGTCCGGCTGATTTTTTGATTTATTGTAGAGATGAGGTCTTGCGAAGTTCCAGGCGGGTCTCGAACCTGCAGGCTCAGGCAATCCACTCACCTCAGCCTCCCAAAACGCGGGATTACAGGCTGAGCCACCCAGCCTGGCTAAGCTCACTGTTCTTACCAATGTTCAGTTACTTTTCAGAAATGAACACGTCTAATATTTTTTGCAAGCCTTTGGTAAATGTTCAGAGTTTTGCCAAAGTTTGTTTTGATAATTTTTGCAAGTTTTCTTGGTG